TGCATCCGATCTTCAATTAATTCATTCTAATAACATTATTCATTGTGATTTACACAGTGGAAATATATTTCAAGAAAATTTACATAATGCTTATATCGGTGATTTAGGAATTGCAATATCAGTTAATAATACATTAGATAAAGAATCAGGAGGAATTTATGGAGCTTTACCGTACATGGCACCAGAAGTTTTGCAAGGAAAATCATTTACTAAAGCATCAGATATTTATTCTTTCGGAATTATTATGTGGGAGATTTCTTCAGGAAATATTGTATTTTCTGACTATAAAGATAACGATTTAAGATTGGCACTAGAAATTTGTGAAGGTTTAAGACCAACTATTATTAGAGGCACAGCACCATGCTATGTAAATCTTTTGAAAAAGTGTTGGGATAAAGATCCAGAAAAACGACCGTCAACTATGGAAATTCATCAAACTATTTTAAAATGGAAAAATAATACCGATATTTTAATTGAATTTTTAAAATCTGATAAAGAAATGGTGATCGAAAATAATGACTTTAACAATATAGAAGATAGTACAATTTATACTAGCAAATTCGTTAGTTATATTAACCAACAGTCACTTGAACACGTAACAGCAAATGAAATTATCTCTATTAATAATATTTCTATTGAAGATATTAGAAAGTGTAAGGAAGTAATCAGTGATATTAATGTATTTGAATAAAGGTTATTCAAAAAAATGTTGTGCCTCAGATTTATGTTTGCCTCAAATGCCGATTTTTTGGTCAGCATTAAAACTGATCGACATTAATTGGTCTAAATTATACTCTAATTCTTACCCTAACTTAGGCCGATCGACATCGACAGAATTTAAACTTTTTTGCATAATTTAACTAGAAAATATAATTATGAAAACGTCTTGTTTAAAGAATAAATACAATATAATAATATTAAATTTATTACTGTAATACCTTTGTTGAAATTTTGGATTCATATTTATCTATATGACATATTATTAATGATGCTATAATTACATTTAAATATTAAATACGCTTATATTAACACAATATTTGATGATTTTTGAAAAAATCTTCAACTTAAAAAAACATTATAATCTCATAATTGAAAACTACTATACTCAAATCTGGTAATAAATAAATAATAATTTATAAAGAAAGTAAAATTGCCCTAAAATTATATATCCCTCCAAAAAAACTGAACCAAATTATTTAAACTTCTAGTTTTTTCAAAGGGCGAACCTATATACAAATTTACATGAAAATATTACCGTTATATTATACAATAGTCCTATGATGTTCCATCAAGCACCTTTCAATTTCAACATTTAACGCCCAAACCCATTCTTCTCTTTCACTCTTATTCCTAGCTCGAAATATCCAAACTTTACCATTAGAATCTAACTTTGCCTTTTTTCGAAATTCTACACCAATAACTCCAGATCTTTCGATTACATGATGTTTATTACCTTGCCAAATAACAAATGTACATTCATCCTTTTCATCAAAACAACACATTCCATCACTGTATATTCTGGGAAAATTGTACATCTCATTGCCCACGCGATGTGGAGTGCTAGAATAGGGCAAATCATGATCGGTTATATGACCCGAGTATACATAACAATCTAATAGATTGATAATGCCTTTCCGCCTATGATAACTTCGGTGAGCTTTTCTTCCAATCATCGACCAAGAATAAAGACGGTAAAATATTAGGTAACCTCTTGTTAAGACATGATAGTAATTATTAAAATTTCCATAGTAATGAACTTTTTGATATAGTAATCCAGATTTCTATAAAGAATTTTAAATTATAAGAAATTACTTTTTTTAGAATAGAATTTAATAAATAACGTACCGTAATACCTCGACATCCATTTAAAATACACCAGTGCCAAATTGTAGGACTTGCATATGATCGAAAATTATCCCAATCTCCATGAAAACCATCACCTATAAATGCGCTACCATCATCATAATCATTAAACTGATTTATTTTAAACATACTAATTCGAATTTTTACGTCATCCGCAAGTCGAGCTTTCCAGTATTTGACAAGCTCATTGAGACATTTTACCCATTGTTTCATAGTTGTTTTGGAATATGCCTACAACAATTATGAAATGATGAAAGATGTTAAAAATTTATACATAAATCGTGAAGAGTTAAGATTTAACAATCAAATGGACAACCTCTAAAACAATAGTCATTCCATTTATCATGACCACTTCAAAAGGACATCCTTTTTTTTCGAGTTCACGTTCTTGAGATTGATCTTCTATATGATCATTTTCACAATCATTTTCATTATCATCGTCCATTAATGATCTTACTTCTTTAACATCAATCAAATTAATAAATCCATATGCATTTATAATTTGCTTAACACGCCTTTTATTATCCGCCTTAATAAAAGCAGCGGCGTGTTCTGGTTCTTGAACGTGTGGGGAAACAGCATATATTAATGGTCGTTTGCTATTGATTTTGTCGGTATTCGGTGATCCAGACCCAGAACCAGATACAGGTGACGGTGATGTTGATGGTGGAGGTGGAGGGCTCGCAACGAACGGTTTCATAAAAAATAAATAGTAATCATGTGACGAAAAATATAGACGTTTTGATCTGTTTTTACGACCTTTTTCATTTGTAACTCTAATGAGGTATCCTTCAACTGACGGTGGTTCCTAAGCCATAAATAATTGATAAAATTAATTATGGATAGTTGATAAATAAAATAAATAAATTAAGATTAAATAACGAAAATATGTGTATACCTGTAACTTTGTTTCATCGGGTAACGTTACGGATGTTGGATAATGTTCTGTGCACCGCAATTGTAGTTGATGAGTCTATTAAAATGTATATGAAAAGGGTAATATATGTAAAAATACGTAAAGATAAACAAAATTCAATAAAAATAAAATAATAAAATCATACCCCTTCAATGAATTGAGGACACGCTAATAAATCACACCTATCTCTTTCACCTTCATTTGTTTCCCAAATAATCCACTCTATCCGATCATACCTTTTCCAACATAATCTCATATCACAATTTTGTAACCATTCATTCAATACATCTTCCCATTCATTTATACCACTTAATTCATCCAAAACAGTTTTAGTTATTTCTTCAGCAGTGATTTTAAATGCTTGCCTTCTATCTTCTAATGGAATTTGTACTCGAACATCCAGATCAGGTACAACTACCTCACAAACAGAAGGAACTGGTTTCACGGACGGTTCCATAAGCAAATGATACAAAGCGCGATACCATCCGACACTTAGGGAATAAGTTTTTGGTCGAAATATAAATACTTTCATTCCATAATCACTTGGAGTAGATAAAGCTATTGTATAATCAACTGGTGAATAGAGAGATAGTCGAGTTGAAGAAGAAAAAACAATTGTGTCAACAGGTTTCTTCTGAAAAAATTAAAGATGAAAATACGAATTTTGATTTTAATAAATTTTTCAGAAACTTTGAAATAAAAAATATTATTTATTGTAGGACTTGCCTTATTCTTATAAAACTCTATTTTATCAGATTTTAACTTCACAAGATACTCTCTCCATCCTAGGGAATGAGTGAGATATTTCCTTGAAGTGGAATCATTATACATTCTTGGAACACCTGAATGATATACACGTTCGACCTTAATCAATATACAATCTTCCTTGATGACAGATCCTGATACATAAGCGGGATTATTAAAAGATTCAGCATTTAAATTAGCATTGCTTGTATCAGAATTCGGATCATTAACATTAATTTCATCATGATCAATAGGAGAATCTGACAAATTTATTGATGATATTGAAGCATCATCATGTTGATTGTCATTCTCTTCAAGAGAAGAGTTAATAATAGTTGGCTGTAAATGTAATTGTAATGTCCGAGATTGATATTCTTTTGAACTAAGCAAGCGAGGATTGTGTGGTGGTGTAACAGGAAATATTTTTATATCCTCGGATGGAGTATAAAAGACCTCTCTACTCATTGGTGTACGGTCCATATCTGAACCTATAATTTCTAACTCTTCTGGTTCTTCAACAAGGAAAGGAGCATCTGTTATCATATTTGGCCTTTCACTGTATTTCAAAATAAGTTAAGGAGATGACAAAACAAATATAATATCAGACAAATAAATCGAAAATAATTATTACCATTGATCATCAGGAATATTATAATCGAGAGAAGAAATATTATTTGGCCCAACAACATCAGAGGCAGCTCTAAAGGTTTTTCTCCTTCTTGTACCGTGATGTACGGCCTTTTCACTTTTAGAGAACCATATTGACTTTTTTTTATAATTCCAATTTGCTGGAATCGGGCCAACAAAAATTCTTCGAGAAGTCGAATGGAGATGTAATGACATCGATTTTGATAGATTATGACCCTCCCCACTTAAAGAATGTTGTGGAGCCCATTGATGAAAAGAATCACGATTTTTTATACCGGAATCATCAACATTCACAGGATCTGTTGGCATTATTCAAGGAGGTCGAACGGATGGAAGAAAAAAGCTCGAAGTAAGAGGCGGAAATTTAAAAAAAAAGGAAAGTAATGGACTATAAAAATGGATTGTAATTATTAATTAGCATTTAAATCTTTACTAAAACAAGACGTAAATATACACACATCTATCGGTGTACTTTAAACCTTTTTGTCAAAAGTATGATATCAAAAATTCCTTTTAATCTTTGTTAGTGACTCTGAAGTAAAAAGTAGTGAAATATAAATTATTGCAAAATTGAGTACAAAGAATGTATCGCTGGCGTACATACGTAACTTCATTTTAATTTTACCTATCGTGTAATAATAATTGATAAATAAATTAGGAACTGGCTTATAATACTAAATTTTTTTGGATTGAAAGCACAAATTACGTAAATTATTTAAATAAACTTGAAAATACTGTATTAGTGCTAGCACGTATTTCACATGCATCATCATGCGATCATTTTACTTCTGTACTTCAATTAAAATTGGCCGGAGACCCTGCCGGTTTTAAATTAATATAAATTGAATTAATCTATGGAGAATTAATTTTTTATTAATTTACATCGGTATATTGTGTGAGATTAACGAGTAACGAAAGTAACAGTAACAGATTACAAGATCGACGCATTTATTTAACAGTTAACCGTTAATTAGCACACACTGTCGTTCTATATTTAGAAATCATATCGAATAATTTTGATTTTCTTTTGAGTGGCTTAACACGCTACACATACCAATGAAGTCCCGAAAAGGTACATACATACATACGTACGTACGTAGTACATAGATCCAATCTAATATACGTAACACAGTTTAAATTTGATATTTTTAATGCAGCATTTTATTATTACCGTTACGTATTATTATATAATTCGAAATAGCGATAGTGGCTTGGCTTTTAGCACGCGTATTTGAATACAGGAATAAGCGTATCTATGCCAATGATTTTTCGCCACGCATTTATTGCGCCGATAAAAAACAAGAATCTTGCTATTCAAGACATATCCTTTATTTAACAAAAAAAAAAAGCCTCTTACAACAAATACCGGCAATAGCTCAGTTGGTAGAGCGGGAGACTGTAGTGAACGCACTGTTCAACGCTGATATCTCTAGGTCGCTAGTTCAAGTCTGGCTTGCCGGAGCTTCCTTTTTTGATGTTCGCTGAATTCTTATTTACTTAATTGAATTATAAATCGGAAAATAAAATAAGATTCTCTGATTTTAATTTTGAAACCCCTTAATGATAATATTTAACGTTTAATATAAGTTTCGAAAAAACATAAAATTTTTGTATGTACAGATAGGAATATAATTTACTCTAAAAATGCAAAAATATAAATTATTTTCATGTTAACATTTTGCATTGTTTCAAAGTAGCTGCTGACGTCAAAAATGACTTTTTTTTGCCTTTGGCCAATTTTCTTTTTTATTCATTATATATAGAAGCTGCTTGAAGTGAAATTTGTGTCCTATAACAAATTTAATAAGCATTTGTATGTAATAGAGATAGTGAAGTAATTTTTTCCTATTAGTATATTGCGAGCTTTTCTATAAAATTTCTAACGTAATTGCGTTTCAATA